CTGTTTCTTTAATTATGAGTGAGATTGAACAAACATCTTTTGTATGATTACTGGTACATTAATATACTTTTTAGTGGATTATATATTTATATTCCTGGCCTTTTTTTCTATAAAGTTTTTGATTTCTTTTGTTCAATTTTAAAAAATTGGTATATTTAGGAATATTAGCTCTTTATCTGTGATAAATGTTGCCTGTATTTTCTTCCATTTATTTTATTGTTCAAAAGTTTTTGATTTTGTTAAAGTTATCAGTCTTTTATTACCACTGGGTCTTGAGTCATAGTTCAAAACATCTGCCTGTAACTAGGGAACAGGGAAGTTTATCCGTGCTTTCTGAAGATACTTGGTCTCACTCCATTGTTTACATTTAGATTCCTGTTTTGTTCAGAGTTTACTGTTATGCATGTTTTGAAGTATGGATCTAATTTTCTCTTTATCCAAATGTCTAGTTAGTTGTCCCAGCCATATTTTTAAAAATCTTATCTTTGATCAAGTATTGTGAGATGCAGGCTTTCTCATACGAAGAATTCTGTATGAATGTGGATTTATTTCTGGTCTTTCTCTTCTACCTACTGTTGTGTTTCTCTCTTCATCTATCATGTCACCTCTTTATGGGATGTTTTAATGTCTGATAGAATTAATTCCCCAAACCCTAGCTTTTCTTTTTCACTGTTTTACAGAATATTCTTTTTTTTTTAAATTGAAGTATAGTTGATTTACAATGTTGTGTTAGTTTCTGGTGTACAGCACAGTGCTGCATATATATATATATATATGTATACATATATGCTCTTTTACATACTCTTTTCCATTATGGTTTATTACAGGATGTTGAAAGTAGTTCCCTCTGTTACACAGTAGGACTTTGTTGTTTATTTTGTATATAGTAGTTAGTATCTGCAAATCTCAAACTCTCAGTTTATCCCTTATCACCCTCTTTTCCTCCTGGTAACCATAAGTTTGTTTTTTATGTCAACGAGTCTGTTTCTGCTTTGTAAATAAGTTAATTTGTATCATATTTTAGATTCCACATATTCAGTTTGTTTTTTCATGTGAACTTTAGGATTAATTTCTCTAGCTACATTAAAAAAAAAGCTTCTTGTTATCTTTATTAGAACTGCCTTTAACTTACAAACTACCTTAAAGGGAATTAATATGTTTATGATACTGAGTTGAGTCTAGGTTTTATTTATTTCTTCATAAGTTTATTCCTAAGTATTTTTTAGAGTTGTAAAAATAAACTTTTAAATTTTGAGATAATTGTAGATTCACATAGCAGTTATAAGAAATAATACAAAGAGACCCCATGTACCTTTTACCCAGTTCCTCTAATGGTAACACATTAACAATATTGAGCCTTCCAGTCTATGAATATGGTGTATCTTTCCATTTATTTTGGTCTTTTAAAGATTTCTCTTCTAAGTGTTTATATTTGTAATATAGGGTCTTCCATGCTTTTGTTAGATTAATTTCTAATTCTTTTTTGATGCTATCTTATTATTGATACACTTGGTATAAAATTTTATTTTCTGCTTGTTTGTTGTGACTATATAAACATACAGTTGATTTTTGTATGTTAACCTTGTTTCTTAGTTTGCTAAATTTATATATTAATTCTAGTAGTTTTATAAATTTCTCGTGAATTTATACGTAAAAATTATGTGATCAGCAAAAAGACATTTTTACCTATTCTTTTCTAATCTTTGTGTGTTCTCATCTGCTCCCCTTCTCTCACCTCTTCTCCCCTCCCGTCCTCTCCTTTTCCCCATCTCCCTTCTCTTCCTTTTTCTCTTTTACGTTCTCCTTACACTTCAACTAATAGGTTAGCCCTACATTTTGGTAGATGCCTTTTATCAAGTTGAGGAAGTATCCTTCTATTCCTAATTTGTTGAGAAATTTTAGCATGTATAGGTATTCAATTTTGTCAGATACTTTTTCTGCATGTCTTGAAATTATTATATGGTTATTCATCTTTATTCTGCACACTTGGTGAACTGCATTGATTGATTTTTCTAATATGAAAACAACCCTGTATTCTTGGGCTAAATTCTGTTTGGTCATGATGAGTTGTTCTTTTTACATGTTGTTGGAATTGATGTGCTGTTGTTTTGCTGTTGGTGCTTATTTTCATGAAGGCTCTTATTCCCCTCCTTCTTTCCTTACCTTCCCCAGGTGTCCTTGTTGGGTTTGGGTATTAGAGTTATGCTGGCCTCATAAGACAAATTGGAAAGTGTTTTCTGAAGAAGATTGTGTAAGATTGATATATCTTCCTTGAATATTTGGTAGAATTTTCAAGTAAAAGTTACCTGGGCCCTCTCTTCTGACTTGCGACTTTTTTTTTTTTCGTGCATTTATTCTGTCTTATTCTTAAAGCCCATAAATTAGATATTGTAATTATTGAATATAAACTATTTTAAATCTCTTACATGGTTATGAGTTTCCTTGCATCTCAGACCTTCTAGTTTGTGTTACTGAACTTTTCAAGTACACACTTCCAGAAATTTTTAAAGAAATGGCTTATTGGTGATAATCTTTGTTTTCATGCACATGAAGAAATATTTTGCTTGTGTTGTTGCAGAATAGTTTCTTAATATTAGGCTGAGGTTGTTTTCTTTCTACTTTTTGGGGATAACTGAAGTTTACTGTGCTCTGGCTTCCATAATGCTTTTGAGAAGTATTTTGTCTGTTTAATTGTTGTTCCTGTTAGGAGGATTATCTTTTCTGTTTGTCTGATTTTTTAAAAATCTTTCTGTTTTTGACAAAAACACAGGTTTGCTTTAGTTTATCTAATTGTGGATTTCTTTTAAATTATCCTACCTGTTAGGAATAATTTCTGTGTCTGTCTTCATATCTGTTTTTAGTTCATGGAAAATTGTCAATGTCAACTCTTCAAATATTTCTTCTTCTGTCTGTTACTCATTTCTTGATCTCCGGGTGCCCATATTTTAAACCATATTATTCTGCCTTTTATGTATTTTTTTTCTCTTTCATATTTTCTGCCTTCTTGACTTTTATGCTTCATTTTGGGTAATTCTTTCAGATTTATCTTCCAGTTTGCAAATTCTCTTTATTCTTCAAATCTGGTACTTGTTCTTTTGCAGTATTTGTCCCCAGATTAGATTGGCCCCTTCCTCTTTCCCCTCTTCTGCACTGTTATATTTTGTTTACCATCACCTCTGAGTTCAGCTTCCTGTTTGGTTGTCTCTTATGTCTTTGAAAATTGTCTTTTTTTCTTGTGATACAGGTACTGCTTTAAAATACGATTTTACTTATGTACTTTCAGCAGGAATTCACTTTAGATAAGTGTTTTGTTCATGGTAGTAACTTAATATTTCTTACTTAATAAATTTGCAGCTGTGATACGGTTTTTGTTGAACTTGTGTCATCTCAGGATCTCATTGTGTGTCTTATCTCTGTATCTGTTAATGCGCCTCAAGCATAGTAGGTAGGTAATAATAACCATTAGTGGAAGAATTGTCATACACTTTTAGTTAACATGGTGTTGGTAATGTTATATATTTAGCATCATAGACTTGTTTTTTTGTAGGATTTATATACAGTATATTTTGTATTTGTTGTCTGTGTCTAAATATATATATATATATGTCAGTTATTCTGGTCTTCTAATGTATATGTCAGACTATTAAGTATAAACAAATTAACTGCCCCTTAACATAATAATAGCGTTAATTTAAATACCTATTCTGTACAATCAAGCACTTGTTCCTATTATTCAGAATGTATAGGGCTATAATACAGGGATCATCATCAGAAGAAAAACAGTTTTCTTTTGGTAATTGTTTTCTAACAATTTCTGCCTAGTACAGTTCTCAAAATTCTACATTTTACAGTGACACTTATAGTAGATTCTATCTTCATTTAATTTGGAGAGTTGAAAGAAGCTTCTCATTTTTTCTTGTAAAATTGGCCGATTTTCCCTGTTAAAGTAAAAATTAGAAAATATGGTCTAAGGTTTTTCTACCATTTGTAGTTATTTTAATGTGAACTTTTGAAATTAAATATGCAAGCATTTGGATATTCTTTGCAGAAAAATAGTATGATTTGTTCTGAATTACAAATGTCTTTTCTTTTTATCACCTTAGACAAAGAAACAGCCCTGGTATAACAGCACATTAGCATCAAGACGAAAACGACTCACTGCTCATTTTGAAGACTTAGAGCAATGTTACTTTTCTACAAGGATGTCTCGTATCTCAGGTACATATTCAGGACTTCTTAAAATATTTCAGATTCGTATTTCAGATCCATATCAGCTTCTTATTGCAGATTTATGGAAAGTCCTATTCACAAAGCAAAAGTGTGTATTTTTGACATAGTCTGCCAGAACACTGTGGAGGTTCTTGGTCGTCTCGGAGAACATTGCTTTTCATAGCTATTTTGTTACCTTTCTCCATTTGGGAATTTTTTGATCTTTTTTTTTTTTTTTTTTTTTACATTTTTTATTGATTCATAATCATTTTACAGTGTTGTGTCAAATTCCAGTGTTCAGCACAATTTTTCACTCATTTATGGACATATACACACTCATTGTCACATTTTTTCTCTGTGATTTATCATAACATTTTGTGTATATTTCCCTGTGCT